TTCATCCATAATTATATATATATATGAAATTAATGATATTATTTATATGTTATAATATTTTATATCAAAGTTTATATAAATAATAACTAATTATAAATAATATGTTATAAAATCTAAGGTGATAGCTAATAAACTTATTAAGTGTAATCATATAAATAAAGTTTATTATAAGTTGTAGTAATGTTCATGTATAAATTAAATATATGTATGTATAATATATTATTTTATTATATACATAATTAATGGTACAAATTATATGTTAAAATGTTTTATATCAAAGTTTGTATAAATAATAATTAATTATAAATAATATATTATAAAATCTAAGTGATAACTAATAAAGTTATTAAGTGTAATCATATAAATAAAGTCTATTATAAGTTATATTAATACTTATGTATAAATTCAATATATGTATATATAATATATGACTTTATTGTATATATATATATATATATATATATGAAATTAATGACCTAACTTATATGTTATAATGATTTATATCAAAGTTTGTATAAATAATAACTAATTATAAAAAATATGTTATAAAATCTAAGGTGATAACTAATAAAGTTATTAAGTGTAATAATATAAATAAAGTTTATTATAAATTATAGTAATGTTTATGTATAAATTAAATATATGTATATATAATATATTTACACAATTATATATATATTCAGAACATTTTATATTACAAAATATTACTAAAGTGTAATAATTGTAACATATTAATAAATACGATATTTACTATTATATATTATAATATTAACATATAAATTAAATTATTTAAAATATATAGCTTGTAATTTCATATTAATATATATTTATAAATAAATATATATAATTAATATTAAATTGTTATGATTATAGTTTGTAAATGTACATAAAATACCTTCATATATTTTAAGTATATTATTAATTAAGTTAGCTATCAATTCTTCTTAACATATATAGAAAATATTATAAATATATTTAAATATAACTAGTTTGGTTTTTGGGTACATTGATCCAAAAATTTTAAAATTGAGAACTTACCAAAAAACTAATTACACTAAATATTTTAGACCAATTGATCGAGTGGATCAATTAAACCTAACCGTTTTACCTAAATCACATTTAGTTTGAGTGGGTAATTAATTTGAATTGGTTTTACTCATTTCTGGTGGTGAGTGGCCCTTGTCTTTTCTTGTTTAAAATCATAATCTAATAAATTATTTTTTGATTAAGGTTTGTGAGATTATTTTATTATTAAATAAAAAATTATTTTAAAAAATTTATTAAAAATATATATAATAAATAAAAAATTTTAAAGGCCACAATTTTAAAAACTCTTAATTAACTAAAACAATTTAAAAAAAGATAGAAACTTGAAATAATTCTTAATTCTTAATTTTCATAATTTTAATTTTTCAGTATACGATTTCACATTTTTCCCGCAATCAATAATACGCATGTAAATTACTCAAAATTTTATATACATGTAAAAGTTAAAACAAAATTAACCAATTTACAAAAAAGAAAAAAAAACATTGAGAAAAATAAACCACTGGGCTGGGTAAACCGAGGTGGGGCGAAATTGAAATGTACAAAAAAGTAAAGGGGCATTAAGGTAATCTAATTCAGCTACGGATAAAACAGATCTACGTGCAGCGTCCGTGCCAGAGCTTCATCTCTGTCGACTACTTTTGGTCCTCCATTTTCAATCAATCAAAGCTTTCTCTAGGGTTTTCAATTTTTCCGTATCCGTTCGACTAAAAACCCTCCGTTTTCTTTGAAACAAACGGAGTTAGCGATGATCATCCGGTTGATTTTTGTAACTTCTTTTCTGGAAGTGGAAAATCAATTATGCTGATTATCATCAAAGTAAAAGAAAGTGTTGTAGCTGATGAAGATTGCAGATTACCTATTGGGCTATTCGCCTCCTATTTGGGCGACTTTGATAGCTGGAGTCCTTTTAGTCATAACTCTTTCGCTTTCATTGTATCTTATTTTCGAACACCTCTCTTCGTACAAGAATCCTGAGGTGAGTTTTTGTTTTGTTAGAGATTTTATTTAGTTCTTTCTTTACTGCTTATTTCATATTGCTTTGGTTAACTTTTTGTTTGGTCTTTTTGACTGGCAGGAGCAAAAGTTTTTGATCGGAGTTATTCTTATGGTTCCTTGCTACTCTGTAGAATCAGTGAGTTTTTTGATCGCATTGATTTTCTTTTTCTGTTGAGTGGAAGCTATTTAATCTTAGAGCTGGATGTTTTATGTAGTTCGGATCTTGCAACTCCTAGTGTTTTTGCGTTAATTTTTAAGGTTTTTTTAATGATAAGAAGTGTTTTATGATATTGTAAGACTAAAATCATCAGCATGTATTTTGAGTTTAGATAACTTCAAAGATTTTTGAAATCGTTGTCTATTTTTGCTCGAATTTATGGACTGTTAGGTGAAAAGTTAGTGTTCTGGAGTTTATGGAATCTGAGTCTAAGCGAAATCACTGGCTTAAACATTGAGTGATTAATGCTGGAAACTTTTTGCTTTTAAAGACGCTTGTAGTGGGAAATTTCTGTAGTTGAACTCCTGAAAATTGAAATATTTTGCTTGACTTTGAAGTTTTGAAGTAAAATTTTGGTGTTTGAGATTGCTGAATATACCTTAAGAAATTTATAAAATTTAGTAGCAGTTTTGTATGAAATTTGACCTATATTCAGCTTAAATTTTAAGTTTGGTGTGCATTTTAAGTCTAAAAGATTTTTAGCATTCTAGATATAATTTTGGCACAATACTTCAATGTGCTTTGGTGCAATTGTATGTTATTTTCTTTCTTGCTAACTTGGATTATTTTAACAGTTTGTATCATTGGTGGATCCATCAATTAGTGTTGATTGTTCAATACTACGTGATTGCTATGAATCATTTGCCATGTATTGCTTCGGAAGATACCTTGTTGCTTGCTTGGGTATGTCCATTTCTAGAGCCTTGAAGTTAAAATAAAGATATTATTTTGTAATTGTGGATCACCGATACGTGTTATTTCATTGAATTCATGGTTTCTATAATGGCATCTTTATACTTTTTCCTTCTGTTAAACTGCTTTTGTATCCTTGAATCTTAATTTTGGATAGCCTGTTATTGTTTTTAACGCCTTTGCACAGATATTTCAACACTTCGCTTTTTCTTTATCTTCCTATTTAAGAATGTATAGATTCTTATGATGTCGTATAAAGAATGGTCACTCATAATGTGCCTAATTTCTAGTTAAATTCTAAAAGAAAATGTGTGTTTCTCTGTTGGTTTTACTCAAGCAAGGTCCTGTACATGATTATTGGCAGCTCTAACCTTTATCTTTAGCATTCATGACCAATTCTCAAGGCTCAAAACTGCAAATTCTATGTAGGGGCTGTAGGACGTTTCCGGTTACTAGCCAATGACTGGTTTTAGTTTAAACTTGTTTGGTGTTAAGAATGTCATAAATTGAGCTATTAATGACACATGTATGAAATATCTCAGACTGACACGCACATGCACAAAGAAAAGAGGTAATCAAAATATTGCTATTATTGGATAAGTTATAATGTAAATATTTCATTCATTAAGGAGATACCAAAGAAGATTGGATGGTACTCTCAAACTGACTTATGCATACTAGTTTTTTCATGTATTTGACAATGTGGACCTAAAACTTCTGACATAATTTCTTTCAAAATGTTCAGAAATTAAAGTTTTTGCATGACATATGCATTTCTGGTTTATGGGCTTTTCAAGGTTCCATCATACAGCATAAATCTCAAAGCTCCACAGGCTACTTGTTAAATATTTTATTTTCATTTTTCTTCTCCCGCGTATTTTTAATGGTCTTCATTTTTCCAGAGTTGAGCTACTGTTTATTTAAAGGACTGATACTGAGAAGGTTTTTCCCTTTATTGCAATCTTTCCTTCAATTTCTGCTTTTAAGGTGGTGAAGAGAGGACTATTGAATTCATGGAAAGACTAGGACGTGCAAGTGCTAAAAGTCCACTATTGGGACTTGACTGTGAAAAGGGAACTGTTAAGCACCCTTTTCCCATGAATTATATCCTAAGACCATGGAAACTTGGTCAGTGGTTTTACCAAGTTGTCAAGTTCGGCATAGTCCAATATGTAAGTGCTCTTTAGCTTTAAGAAAATGAAGTATCCCTTTTGCTTCTGTCTTTGGTTTCCTATTTTAACAGAGCTGTATGCTTTGTTGGCAGATGATAATCAAGTTATTGACTGCTCTTTTAGCAGTAATTCTTGAAGCTTTTGGTGTATATTGTGAAGGAGAATTCAACTGGGGATGTGGGTAAGATGATCTTAATGTAGAATGTTGTTAAAGATAATGAGGATTATTGTGTGGGTTATTAGTCAAAAGAACTTTTCTGGGTGGAAGAAAGTAGTTTTGAAGGATTGTGATTCATATTGATGCTACTTTTAGTGCTTCACCTTCTAAGCAACAAGCCACTTCAAATTAGAATTTATGATGATGTTTCGCTTGTGAGCATTAGTGTTTGTTTAAAATATTCTAGAACTATGTTCTTGCACTTAAAGTGGTGAACATTCATTAGTGAAACAGAATTTTGTGAATTGCCCCTCTTAAGAAATTTCTCATTATCTTGGCATTTTTTTTCCTGATTTTGCAGGTATCCTTATATGGCAGTGGTTCTCAATTTTAGTCAGTCATGGGCTTTATACTGTTTAGTTCAATTTTATACTGTCACAAAGGATGAACTGGCTCACATAAAGCCATTGGCCAAGTTTTTGACTTTTAAATCAATTGTGTTTTTAACTTGGTGGCAAGGTGTGGCGATTGCCCTTTTTTATGCTCTTGGTCTGTTCAGAAGTCCAATTGCCGAAGGCTTGCAGTTTAAGTCAAGTGTCCAAGACTTCATTATTTGTATAGAGGTAGATGTCTTCAATTACCAATTTATTTTTTCTGGGTAGTACTCCTATTTACTATAGGTATGCAGCTATGTAATAAATAATCAAAAGATTAACCCATTTGCATGTAAACTGGAACATTACGTTTGTCGATCATCTAAAAAGCTTGTAAATTCTGTAAGTCTTTCTCTAATATGAAAGTTTGACATGTCATTCTATTCCTCCAGCACAGATGGGCATTGCTTCTGTTGTTCACCTATACGTTTTCCCTTCCAAACCTTATGAGCTAATGGGAGATCGCATTCCTGGAAGTGTTTCAATCCTTGGAGACTATGCATCTGTTGATTGCCCTCTGGATCCTGACGAGGTTAGGGACAGTGAGCGGCCCACAAAGCTACGTCTACCTCAGCCTGACATAGAGGTTCGAAGTGGCATGACCATCAAAGAAAGTGTGAAGGATGTATTTATTGGTGGTGGTGGATATGTAAGTACTCAGTTTAACTACTAGTGCAATTTTAGATTTAGCTGTGTACATGGAGATTATTAATTAATGGTTAGTGAGAAAATAATTATGGTGTGCTGTAATTACCTAATAGGTGAGAGTTGCTGGTTCTCCATAATAGCATTTCTTCAGGTAGATGGAAAACCAAAAAGTTGCTAATTAATATCCACAATACAACCACAGTTGGTCAAAACCCGAAAGTACGAGGCAGATTGTCACATTATGTTCGTTCATGGCCATTTTGAAGAGCATAAAACTTTTGTTACCTTTTTGTGCCTATAAAGTCAAATCTTTCGAAGATCAGATCTTTTTCTTTTGTTTTCGTTAGTATGTTGACATTACTAGTGCTGAATCTGCTCTTTTCTTGTGCAGATTGTGAATGATGTAAAATTTACGGTAAACCAAGCAGTTGAGCCTGTTGAGAAGGGGATTACCAAGTTCAATGAGAAACTGCATAAGATCTCTCAAAACATCAAGAAGCATGACAAAGACAGGAGAAAGACAAAGGATGATAGTTGCATTGCCACATCTGCACGGAGGGTAATTCGTGGTATAGATGATCCCCTCTTAAATGGGAGCATTAGTGATAGTGGGGTTGCAAGGGGAAAGAAACATCGTAGAAAGTCAGGATATACCAGTGCAGAAAGTGGAGGAGAAAGCAGCAGTGATCAGAGCTATGGTGGATATCAGATTAGGGGCCGTAGATGGGTTACAAAGGATTAAAGCTTAGATGAATAATTGTGGCTATATGAACAGAAGACATGCCGGTGTGAGTGCTTCAAGAGACATCCCTATTCTTAGCTTTTGGGTGGCTTGCTTGGTTTACTTGCTCAAGAGTATTATTTCTGCAAGATGCGGCTGAAGATTTCTTTCGAATTCCTGCTGTCAATATTTTCCCATCAAATGGGGTGGTTGTTTATGCAGGGGTCTCGTGGGTAAGTACTGTAATACGTGTCATGCTGTATACAGTTTATTCAGGGCTTGGCCATTGCATACAATGAATTAAGAATCGAGTTGCATGACTGGTGACATCTGTGCTCAAATATTTTTGAGAGATGTTTTGAGGCCAAACCAAGCTTGATTAATGTCTGGAAATCCTTGCCCTGAAAGTTTTGAACAGATCAGAGCTATCTGTATTCTTGCGATGAATATGTGCACGATATTTGAAAGCATTCTCCCTCTTATCTCCCAAGTAATATATTCTTTTGCTCAGAACGATGCAATTTTAACAGTACTGCAGTGGCTTTATTCTTATGCATTTTTAAATAGAGTAACGGTAAATACAGCAACACCCATATAAAGTCCTCATCAGGTACTTGCAATGCCATAGCTAGCATTATGAAATGAAAGATTGATCATATGAATGTCAAGTAAATCATTCGGTCATAAAATGCTGGCCAAATTTTCCCGACAACTTGGTGGAAGAAACAATAAAGGAGGAGCTGCAGATTATAAAACTACCCGAAGTTCGCCAGTAAGCAGTGCGAACTGTCGATGCTGTGATAAAATAGAAGGGAGTCTAACTGCTTGAATTCTCGATCCTAGGTCATTGCTACTCGGTTCCGTCTGTTCTGAAGCTGCACTGAGCATGGTTTGCAAGATTTGCAGGGGATCACCATGGCTGACAACCAAGATCACACATCTGCTTTGAAAAAGAAAGAATCTTAACTTAGACTAGTCTCACAATAAGCGGAAAGAGGAATAATTTGCACTGCTGGATTGCACTGCTTCAGCATGTTATCATAATAATGATACTGCATACCTATTATTACACAGCACATTGGTATAACCAATCTGATAAGCAATTCTACTTTTTGGAGCAAATTTCTACTTTTAGTCAGAGACTAAACTAGAATCATTATTCCTTTACTTTTAACCACTCTTAGGATTCCAATCGTAAGGAACTCCATGCCTATGCACACAATGACTGATTCACTACTCCATACCTACCATAGAAGGGGAGGACATCTCATAATTTGGGATGCTTGTTAAGCATGTTCTGTGTGGAAAAACAGAAATGACAATGCTGTTTGATGTTCTAGAACTATTCCATCGGTCTTATTTGCTCCAAAGTCAAAAGAAAGGAGAATAAATTTACACTTGGTATTCTGATTCCATGGTTGCCATAGCACTTGCAAGTCTAGAGGCCACATCATCAACACTTTCTCCACCTTCTGGCCTTGTGAATGGATCTTTTTCATCCATAGCCCATATTTCTGGATACTGTTTATGATGTACAAGAAAAGTTAGGAAAAACTCGAATGTGAACAGCCCTAAAAGGGTAAAATAAGCAAAATTTGAACTTATTTAACAGTTTGTTGCCTAAATTGCCCTACATATCAACTCAATAACCTATTACTGTTGTGTTATATGGAAGACCTCAGGATCCTTCAGCTGCAAAACTAATGCCTGGCAAAAGTGTAAACTGAGAGCTGTGTACAGATCACTTACTTTGTCATGTGACAGAAGTTCAAAAGAAGGACCAAAGTAACGTTCTCGAAGATCTTCTATGACCTGTCCTTTCAGGCAATTGCATTCGTTCAATATCAGTGTGGAGAAAAAGTAGAAACAGAAATATCATTCGATATCTCATTTTTCCCCGAGAAAAGATCCAAATCTAAATCAGAGAACCTCTGATCTAGAATCATGATTAACATCTCAATGATGAGCATCATTTGATCCTTCCCTCCCCAATTCAACATGTGAGTCATTGAGATGGCGAAATAGCTCACCTTACATTGAGGGCCCTCAAATGGAATATTCAGAACGGATGCAACAACCTCTGCTGTATGACTTGTCCTTGCAAATGGTGAGTAACAAATGCGCACATTAGAAAGTGGTATGGTTTTTTCCTTCAATTCCTGCAATTGGTACATAATCCATCAGTAAGTAAAGCAGCTTTCTTTTCTTTTCCCTTTTCTATTAAAGGAGAGCAAGGTTAGAGACTAGGCTATAAAGGAGAGCCTTCAACTTCTCATCAGAACTAGTTGCAAGCAACTTCTTTATTTTCAGTAATTGGTGCCTACATTCTGTTAAAAGTAATCATCATTCAAGTCAGCTATGTGATTTTCAGTGTTAATATTCCCAGTAACCTTCAATCAGCATTGTGAATTTATTCACTCGCAGGGGATGGTAGTTATTTGAAAAAAAGGGGAAATTAATGCAAAAAGTACTTACCTTGAGGAATAATTTTCCAGCCAACTGTGCCTGCTCAACACCTTCAGATGCCAACCCATATTCAGAACGAGTGCCATTTTCCTGATGGGATTCTGATTATTGGTTAATAAACAGAGCCAAGTAGCAAACTTGGAAATGGGCAAATGGATAGAATCTAGAGAGTGACGCATAAATCTATAGGTTTGCAAATGATATGAAAAGAAATTATAGCCAAACTGAAGCTTAACATCACTTGGCATCCCTAAGAAATATGCCCTGAAGCTGACAGGATCACAGTCTAAGATCAATTCCACATATTTCCAGGATAGACCCAGATAAGATAATCATTATTTACAACAAAACGAGGGCTGCCTGCAAAAAGAAGTAGTCATAAAGCATTGGAAGACAAATGAAAGGGATTGACTGACCAATGAAGAAACAACAAGGCCTTTCTCATTTGGGATGCTTTTGCCATGCCTGAGGACCCAGTATCTGTTACGCAAAAACGACAACGTTTTTATATCTGTTTGCATTGTCACTGGTTCTTTCAGTTTGCTTGAAACTGTGAGAGAACTCTATATGCCTCCTATATTAGAAGGAAATCTTTCCTAAAGTCGCGTTTGGACATTGGGGAGTTTCCTGCTTTCTTTTACACCGTTAACTAATTGAGTACTATATGCGGCAGCCAAACATGTCTTTTTCAAAATCCTTTTAATATTCTTCCAATTAAACCCATAATTTCCACGTGGCAAGTGCAAGTTCCCAGTTGCAGAGGACTAAAATAAACTCGCCGCAGAATACCCTACTTCTAATTTACCTGCTTTTTTTTTTTCATTTCCATTTTTTTAATTATTTCACTATTTACGACCCTTGGATCTTTAGTTCATGGATTTCACTCCCTCGAAATTGCAACAAGGAGAAACGGAGAAGAGAGCTCTCCCAAAAGGCTTTCCATTACCCAAGAGAAACCGAGAGCAGCGAATTTGAGTCTTGAAATTTGGGAGTAACTTGTTGGGTGCAAAGAGATTAATTTTTCAGTCTTCTATGGCTCTCAATCTTCGCCAGAAACAGACAGGTGAATTCCCTCTCTAGATCTCTCTCTTTCATTTCCCCTCAAGATACCAAAATCCCATTTCATTTCTCTTTTTAAATTTTAATTTAGATGCAATTAGAACAAACTCTTGTGACTCTAATTTTGACCCTGTTAAACTTTTGTTGAATTTGATCTATTATTCTATGAATCTAAATCCATAAATCTCCCACAAGTATGTTTTGGATCTAGTTTAGTCTGGCTTTTTAGATATTGGGTTGAATTTGATATGTCATTTTGGACCTTTGATCTTAGTGGGTGTTTTGGTCTTTATCTTTTGCTGGGTTTACAGAATGTATAATCCGAATGCTGAATCTGAATCAACCTGTGAATCCCGCTGGAACTGCTAATGAGGAGGTTTACAAGATCTTGATTTATGACAGATTTTGTCAAAATATACTGTCCCCACTGATTCATGTCAAGGATCTGCGCAAGCACGGTGTTACCCTGTACTTCCTTATTGATAAGGATCGAAAACCTGTCCATGATGTGCCAGCTGTGTATTTTGTTCAGCCTAGTCATTCCAATATCCAGAGAATCGTAGCTGATGCCTCACGTTCACTCTATGATAGTTTCCATCTGAATTTCTCTTCATCTATACCAAGGCCGCTTTTGGAGGATCTTGCTTCTGGGACTTTGAATTCCGATTCAATTCATAGGATTTCGAAGGTTCATGATCAGTATTTGGAGTTTGTGACGCTGGAGGATAATTTGTTCTCGTTGTCACAGAAGTCTACATATGTCCAATTGAATGACCCATCTGCAGGGGATAAAGAGATTGAGGACATTATTGAGAGGGTTGTTGGTGGATTATTTTGCGTTTTGGCTACACTTGCACTGGTGCCGATAATAAGATGCCCGCGTGGTGGACCAGCAGAGTTGGTTGCTTCAGCATTGGATCAGAAGTTGAGGGATCATTTGTTGTCAAAGAACAATTTGTTTTCTGAAGGTGGGAGTTTTGTAAGCTCATTTCAGCGTCCAGTTTTGTGTATCTTTGATCGGAATTTTGAGTTATCTGCTGGATTACAACATGATTTTAGGTACCGCCCACTTGTACATGATATTCTTGGATTGAAACTTAATAGGTTGAGTGTGCCTGGAGAGAAAGGTGGAATGAAATCGTATGAGTTGGATAGCTCAGACCCATTTTGGATGGCAAATGGATCGTTGGAATTTCCTGAAGTTGCTGTTGAGATTGAGACCCAATTAAACAAATATAAGAAGGATGTTGATGAGGTGAATAGAAGGACTGGTGGGACTGCAGGAACTGAGTTTGATGGGACAGACTTGATTGGGAACACAAAGCACTTGATGAATGCAGTGAACTCCCTGCCTGAGCTGACAGATCGGAAGCAGGTTATTGATAAACACACAAACATTGCAACGGTGCTCTTGGGTGAAATAAAGGAGAGATCTCTTGATTCTTATGCTAAGAAGGAGAATGACATGATGGTTAGAGGTAGCATTGATCGAAATGAGTTGCTGAGTGTACTTAAGGGAAAAGGTACAAAGGCAGATAAGCTGCGGTTTGCTATAATGTATATTATCTCTTCAGAAACCATTAATCCATCAGAAGCAGAAGCAGTGGAAGCAGCACTAAGAGAATCTGACGTTGATACAAGTGCATTTCAGTATGTGAAGAAGATCAAGTCATTGAATGTTTCATTGGCGTCAGCAAATTCTGCTAGTAGAAGTAACATTGTTGATTGGGCTGAGAAGATTTACGGCCAGTCAATTAGTGCTGTCACAGCTGGTGTGAAGAACCTATTATCTAGTGATAGGCAGCTAGCATTGACAAGGACTGTGGAAGCTTTGATGGAGGGGAAGCCAAACCCTGAAATTGATTCTTACCTTGTGTTTGATCCTCGTGCCCCAAAGTCAGGCTCTGGCACTAGTAGCAGCCATCTGAAAGGACCTTTTAAAGAAGCTATTGTTTTCATGATCGGTGGTGGAAATTACGTGGAGTATGGCAGCTTGCAAGAGCTTGCACAGCGTCAGCAGCCTGTCAAGTATGTTATATATGGAACAACAGAAATTTTAACCGGATCGGAGTTTGTTGAGCAACTCGCGCTGTTGGGGCAGAAGATGGGATTGGGCAGTACAGTTGCTACCTCATCAGCAACCAATTAATGCACCTTTTGGATACAATGTGCAGAGCGTGCTATTCGCTTGGTCCAGTGCATAAAGGAAGCAGCACGATCCAATTGGAGATGCCATTTGATCAAGTAAATACAGATTTGAAGCTGGTTATCTGAGCACCTATGCACTTAGTTGGGCCATGCACTTTTTTCTTGATATTAAGCCCACATGCTGGTTTTGATCGAGACTTGAACCTTTTACTATTCAGAAACACATATATATTTGTTCCATCACAGTGAGTAGGTATTTTGACAATGAATAGCATCTTTTTTTTTCTCTTTGGGTAAGTTTCTGCAGTTGGGGTGCTGTCAATACCCACTTTCTATTCTCTTGGCTATCGCTTTTCTTTCCCCTACTTGGCTGTATTAAAAGTTTCAGTTGGATTTCCTTTTACCCCATAATTTCATCAGATATCAATAGATGAGTGTTATTCAGATTCATTTGTAGTTTGTAATTGTATTCTTGGAAAATGTCAGAAACGGCTTGTCTTAATGCCTTCAATTACTTGATTCATTGGTGGCGATTGGACCTATTTCTTTGCTGTGTGTTGCCTACTTCCGGTTGAACTAGGACAACCCTTATCCATCTTAAATTCAGTAACCCAACTTTAAAATTTAAAATTAGATAACCCAACTTTAAAATTTAAAATTAGATAGATATGTTGTCTTTTTTTTAAGTATAAACTTTCTGGAATCTCCTTGTTTAATTGTCTCACGTCTGAGGTATCTTTCCTGTTTAATTTTCTCGTCTGCTACATTGAGCTAAGCTGGGATGCTGAGCGCTTTGTTTCAAGCTCGCAGAAGTCTTGGGCTGTGCCTTGGGAAAGGCCGGTCTTCTGTCTCGAAGCCATTCGTGGAAGGAATATGCGAAAAAGAGCATGAAAAAACTCAACAGGTTCATCCACAATGGGACAAACTTCCTCGTGACATATGGGGCTTAATCTTTCAACGTCTCTTATTAGTGGATCGAATTCACGCCAGCCTCGTGTGCAAACAATGGAGTTCAGCCCTAAAGCAGTCTCCTCCTCAACCGATCTGGATTCTGCTGCCTCCAGACGATGTTAATAATAACAAAGATTGCGAACATATGATAAGCTTCTTTGACTTGGGTGAAGGTGCAATTGGAAAGCTGAATCTCCCCAAGTCAATATCAGGAGCGACTCTCATCGGGGCTTCCAAAGGTTGGCTTGCACTCACCAAGGGCAAGAAAAATAGTTTGCAAATTTTTCTGCTTGATCCAATTTCAGGGGTTCAAATTCCTCTTCCTCCCTTGTCAACAATAAGATCGACTTCGGAAGATACGAACGCCATTGATAAGATTGAAATATCTTCCAGGGATGCATCCCAATCCGTCGTTGCAGCATGCTTTGATGAGGGCAAGATTTTGGCACTGTGCAGACCGAAGGATAAGAGGTGGATCCTATTTGAAGGGTTAGGTGTAGCTGATGATCATCGTTACGCATGCATTTTATTCTGCCATGGAATATTATATGCATTGATTACAACAGAAGACGATGAAGTCACTTTTCAATTTCAAACCCATTCCCTGAAATTAGCAAGTGATCATGATGTTGTTTTGAAGCTAATCCCTCTAACAATGTTCGAGATCAGTTCCCCGATTTTCCTTGAAGACCCTCTTGAAGAGGTAGATTCCTTTGGTAAAAACTGGGCTGCAATACCATATTTGGTGGAATCCAATGGCGACTTGCTGATAGTTCTGAAAATATTAGACGCCTTAATAACTGAGGACGAAGTCCAGGATGACGACGACGGGGACGACGTCGAGGCTATATTTTCCTACTGTCGGATTGCCACATTCGAAGTATTCAAGGTTGAAGCAAGTGATGAGACACTATGGTTAACGAGGTTAAGCAACTTAGATGACCAAACCTTGTTCATCGATGGGGTGGATTCACTATCCCTTCCAGGTGAAAACTTCAGTAAAAATTGCATTTACTTTTTGGAAGATTCATTTGGTTACACTGCCGAAGGTTGGAAACCAATCATTTCTCGTGAATCCGGTGTTTTCTACCTTCATGATGGAAGGATAGAACGTTCCCTTCCAAGTTTGGACCTTTCCAAGCTTGGAAAGGATTTTTGTTACCTCTGGTTTTTTCCAAATATCAAGATTGGAGACTTCAATTAAAACTTGGTTAGGTTAGAGGATTGAGAATAGAATAATTAATGTTTTTTTTTATTTGGGAAAAGAGGATTCGAATCTTGTATTATGTATTAATTAATGAATAAAATGTTAGATAACTATATTTGTTTGTTTTTATTTTTTATTGGTATTTATATTAATAAAATTATATGATCTTTTATGAATGTATTTGGCTTTTAAGAAATTTATAATATTCATTTTATATGCATTTATATTCGACCATTTATTTAATTTTTATGAGTGTTTACATAATATGCACAAAACATAATTCTTGAAATATTTGTAGGAATTTCAAAATGAAAAAAAAACCTGTAATTAATATTTACTCATTTCACTTATTTGTAATTTTTCAGAAATTACTAAACAATACAATGCAATTAAAATTTCATATTACAAAGGAAATGAAAAACGTATTACAAGCTTTGAGTAGATTATATTACAGATTACTCACAATTCAGTGAGTAAATTAAGGGTTATAAAAAATTGCAGTGTCCAAATATAAAATATTTAAAATTAAGGGGTACTTTTCAAAATTATCCCTTCCTCTTCCATTTTTCCATTCGCATCTGTCAACGGCCTTCTCTGCAACCGTCCTTTTTTCGTATTTCTCTCAAGATTAAAAACCCTAATTTGACCGCCAAAAACTCCGAAATCTTCAAACACCGTCACCGGAAAATGTCCACGTCACGCAGATCCGTCCCTCTTCTGAAAACCCTTATAGCGCAAAGAACCCATCGCCGAACCGTGACTTACATGCCCCGACCGGGGGATGGAGCCCCGAGACCCGTAACTCTAATCCCAGGAGACGGTATCGGACCGTTGGTGACAAACGCGGTGGAACAAGTGATGGAAGCAATGCACGCGCCGGTTTACTTCGAGAAGTACGAGGTTCACGGCGACATGAAGCGCGTGCCGCAGGAAGTCATAGATTCAATAAAGAAGAACAAAGTTTGTCTGAAAGGAGGGTTGAAGACTCCAATGGGAGGTGGAGTTAGTTCACTGAATATGCAATTGAGAAAAGAATTGGATTTATATGCTTCGTTGGTCAATTGCTGTAACTTACCGGGATTGCCAACCAGACATGAAAACGTGGACATCGTGGTAATTAGGGAGAATACGGAAGGGGAATACTCGGGGCTCGAACATGAGGTCGTGCCTGGCGTTGTTGAGAGTCTTAAGGTATTGATTATATAATCGAATTGTTTTTTTTTTTTAATGAAACTTTGAAGGTTTTCTCACTGTTAGATTAGCTGTTTCTCGTGTAGGTGATAACAAAGTTTTGTTCAGAGCGGATCGCAAAATATGCATTCGAGTATGCCTATTTAAACAATCGAAAGAAGGTTACTGCTGTTCATAAGGCCAATATAATGAAACTCGCTGATGGTTTGTTTTTAGAGTCTTGCCGGGAAGTGGCAACGAAATATCCTAGCATCAAGTACAATGAAATTATTGTGGACAATTGCTGTATGCAACTTGTCTCAAAACCAGAACAATTTGATGTCATGGTATGTGAAGTTTTTAAACAAATTTCTTATATTAACATCTTTTAATATGAATCCGTTTGTAGTCATCGATGTTTATGCATATTTTAGCATTTGGTGATCTTTCCCTCTAGTATAGATTGATATATGACACTAGTTTGGATTGATATATGTATTTATTTTGAAAAGCATATTTGTATTTTATTCATACAAGAGGTACAAGAATGCTGCTGTAAGTCTTTTTCCTGAGATAAAAAGATTTATTGCAGCAGAACACCATTCTTAGACAACACCAATAAAAAAAGTCCTGTGAGTTCACAAAAATATCAGTCCCGGACTCTTTCTAAGCCTGTACATATCAGTAAGCACTCAATAAGCACCTGTGAAGCAAAACCAGTGGTTCATCATAAAACAAAGGCTCATAAGCACCATATCCCTCACAAGACTGACTACCAAAAAGACATCAGCTATGACACAGATGAGCAAAGAATGACTCTACATCCTACTGATGAGATCTCCATATCAGCAACAATTGAAATAGTACCAATCCGTGAGATCCCCCAACACAGACACATCAGTATGTCAATTCCAACCTTAGCCAGGACATGCAAATAAAACCATCAGCAGCTGAGTAGATCAAGTTAGTGTATATCATCAGACCCACCTTACCTGCCCTGCTGAACCTCAAAAGTGTCACTGTGATGAAAACCTTATCAGGCATGAACACGCCCTGGACCACACTGGAACCTGCGGACAAATAAGGCAAGGTCAATCAACACTCACCACCAGTGGAAGAGGAGCCCCCGTTGTAACCACCCAAAGAATCATCTACTTGATGCACCTGCAGAAGATCTTGTTCTCTTCCTACAGCAGCTTTTGCAAGTGAATCTGCCATGCTGTTAGCTGATCTTAAGACATGCTGAATCTCCCATTTCTTGTCTCTGTTTTTGAGATGATTAATGTGCAAGATCTGTGTCCTAAGCCACCATGGAGCTGCATCAGGCCTGTTGACCCATTTAGCAGCCATAGTAGAGTACCTTTCTATTAGCAGATCATGGGCCCTTGCCTTGGAGAAGGTGATTAGTGCCTTTCCTTGGTTATCGTTTAGAATACCTCCAATCCTAGATTCTCCTGAATTTCCCCTTGAAGCCCCATCAGCATTAAACTTAAGTTGCGGGACAGTTCCAACTCACATCTCGTTTTCCTCTCACATCTCGTTGTAATATATATATATATATATATATATAACGTATTACAATTAGTTCAACATATAAATACAGATCTCAATTCCAGATTTTCTTTACCTCTGCTTTAATCATCATTGACATCTTTGTTACCAATGCCAAACACAATTTGAATTGTCGTGAGAAATGTTGTATAATTTGCTGGAAGAATCCATTACCATGGAGATTTTTGGAACATACTTTTAGGTTGCGTTCCATTTATGTTTTTTAGCAAGGGTTTAGTCATTTAACTGTTTTGCCTGATCTTCACCCAACTGCTGGACCTCTTCTGTGTCTTTAGGTAACTCCTAATCTTTACGGAAATCTTGTTGCAAACACAGCAGCTGGTATTGCTGGAGGCACTGGTGTCATGCCAGGAGGTACCAATTACTTACTAATATGCGTTGTTTTTCGGTTATTAGCTATTTCATGGCATGAATATAATCTGGAACCTATATTAGCTACTTGTTTTCTGGCTATTTCTCTTATAATTTAGTCAACAATTCTATGACTACAGGTAATGTTGGAGCTGATCATGCTGTCTTTGAGCAAGGCGCTTCAGCAGGGAATGTGGGAAAAGAAAAGATAGTAGAGCAAAAGAAGGCAAATCCAGTGGCTTTGCTTCTCTCCTCTGCCATGATGTTGAGGCACCTCCAGTTTCCTTCATTTGCTGATCGACTCGAAACTGCAGTGAAACGTGTAATATTAGAAGGTATGTACCGGAGTAAAGATCTCGGTGGAGATAGCAGTACACAGGAAGTTGTTGATGCTGTCATTGCTAAGCTAGACTGATTGGTTGAACTCCTCCATCATGGACTCTTAATATTGTCATTTGGTATGATTTCCTTAATTTCTATATGTCATTCTTAGATTTCAAGCATGATATTCTTTATGGAAATAAAAAGCCAATCTTGATAGCCAAGAATATTTTAATGAAAATTGAGGACTTATGAGTTACGATTTTTATTTTTCCTTTTTTACAATTTAAGATGGATTTGATACTGTGGCATTGGGTGAAATAAGAATCTGGTTTTCTACTCCTTTCATTCCTTTGCAACTTTTTTCTTTAATCTATATTTCTTGGTTTTTTGCTTCTCCTTATTTAGTTTATATAGTTTGCTTATAAAAGCATTAGTCAATGTCAGATGCCTCTAATGAAGTGTTAGAAATTTACGCAGCTCAAGAAGTAAAGGGATTTAGGAGTTATCAGAAACTTGTTTCGTTCAATTTCTACCCTATTTTAATAGACTCGAAATCCAAAGAATGCTAAGATATGTTAACAAAATTATTTTGAGTCCAAAGAACAAGACGAAAAATCAAAACTTTCATCAGTGATGTGTTTAGGAGACAAAAAAAAAAAACATATAACCTCTATTGTTGATTGAGGCCTTATAAAAGAAATTTTGTTTTTAATTTGATGTGTTCACCTTGTGATTGTATAGCACAATCTATAAATATACAATTGATTGGCAATTAAACATTTGAGGTTCAGTTTCAGCCTCTTAGCCTTTGTGCTGTAAGGCCAAGATTTTCCTTGTGGGTTTGAGTTAATTTGTGTCACCTTACTAGCTTTATTCTTCATGTTTGAAACAAATAAATATGTCACCTTATTAGCTCTTTTCTTCATGTTTGAAACCCATGAATAGGCTTTTGTTCATTTGGTTTATAAATGGTAATAAAATAGGTATTTAAGGTGGTGCAATGTTAGGAGTTTTGTATCGTTTTTAATTTTTAGTACATATTTTTTACATTTGATTACAAACGGGAAAGTCCAAAGTCTTTAGTAGGAGGAAAAGAAGAGTCGTAAAATTCAACCTCTATTATCTTGTTAATGGATAAGATGGATTATTCCAAAGAAGTAATACTGGGCTAGAATCCTTAACGCTTATACCTGAATCAGAAATCTTTTCACAATTGATCGTCTGAAAACATTAGATAGATACGTTCTCAAATCCCTTTTGCCTTTGCCTTTGCCTTTGTAAGTACTCACAAAAAAGAGAGATGGAGATGATGGTTCATCCGCCATGGGAGGAACTTCCTCAAGACATATGGGGTTTAATCTTTCAGCGCCTCCCATTAGTGGATCGTGTTCACTCCAGCGTCGTATGCAAACGAATGGAGTGCAGCCCTAAAGCAAACTCCTCGACCCGCATGGAATCTACTGGACCTCGACGATGATAGCAAAGACTGGGATCACATGATTATGACCTACTTTGACTTGAGTGAAAGCACAATTGGAAACCTGAATCTCTCTGACCCAATACCGAAAGGGGATGCTACCGGGGCTTCCAAAGATTGGCTTGTAGAACCAACGAGGGGCACGGCAACTAATAATCTACAAACTTTTCTGCTTGATCCAATTTCAGGGGTTCAAATTCCACTGCCTCCCTTGTCAACAATAACATCGGCTTCAGGAGATTCAAACGTCGTCCTTTATAAAATCCAGGATGCATCCCAATTCGTGGTTGCAGCAAGCTTTGATGAGGGCAAGATCTTGGCATTGTGCAGAGCAAACCATATTCGAAGGGCTAGGTATAGCTGATAATTATCATTAGGCATGTATTACGTTCTGTGACGGAATATTGTATGTGTTAATTACAATGGAAAACGATGAGACCATTCTTCAAGTTCAAACTCATTCCATGAAAGTAGCAGATGGTCATAATGTTATTCTGAAACTAATCCCTTCTATGTACCATGTTGCAGATCCATCTTGAACATTCTCTTGGAGAGGTAGATCCCTTTGGCAGAACTTGGACGGCAACGCCATACTTGGTGGACTCCAACGGTGAGTTGTTGATAGTTTGTAAAATAGTAAATGACGAGGGTGACCAAGACGATGAGCCTCAAACTCCATACGATCGGCTTACAACATTCCAAGTATTCAAGGTTGAAGCAAGTGATACACCATGTTTAAGGAAGTCAAGCAGCATAGTTGACCAAACATTGTTCATCGATGGAGCGGATGCAGTATCGCTGCCCAGTGAATATTTTGGTAGAAATTGCATCTATTTTTTGGAAAATTCATTTAAATATACAGACGAAGGTTGGAAACCAATTACTTTTTTCA